TCTATCCACTTACAAAATCACCAGTTGCCCCTGTAGAACCGATCGATTCCATCCACATCATCACATACATGCCGCAATCATATCTGTTACAAAATTTGAAAACCACACATGTCAATATGATGAATACTGCATAAATTAAGCTTTCTATTTGTGATAACATCTCATACCCATTCAATTGCTTATTCTTCTTATGCTCCACAAATTTGAAATTTTTCAAGGGATACTTTCCTAGAGATCCACATGACTCAACCCAAATGCGTTTCTTATTATAAGAATCTAATATTTTAATCTGCATTAAAATAGAAGAAGTTATGCACCAAAAAATTATGCATTATAATTTACATAATGTCCTTTCATACATACATACATACCAATCTCTTAGCATCCTTCACTCTCTGTTTAGCTGCTTCAGTTGTAAACATACTATCATATATTGTTACAACATGATCTACCATATCCAACACCAACAGATACCAATGTGAATTATGGTAGTTTATTGTGATCATTATCTGCAACAAATTTCACACCCAATTTGACAAAATTCAACATTCTATATCCGAAAACATCATTTGCAATTGGTATGGTGTCTTACCTTCTCACAGTCGGTGAATTTCACATAGTTATCCAATATGACACCCCAGAAGGTAGAAATACCCTCAACACTTTCTTTGTTGTTGCCTTCCAACGCCTGTTGCTGTAATTACGCAACAAACATTATTAATTTACCGTCTATAACACTACTTTTCAATATTTATTAATTTAACTCACCACTAAGAGGTATGGAAGGTAGCCAATCCTCCGGTGTGACTTTTGAGAATCGTAGCATATGGTCCAGGCGAGCAAATCGATAACCTAACAAAATTAATTACACAATCAGAACATATTCAATAAGTTTTATTTATTTTCTACTTTCTACTTACCACACCGCCAACCCATTCCGTAGGCTTCAACGTTGCAACGTCGTATACAGTAGCGAATTGATTTCCCATTGATATTACAGAATATCTGTATGAATCATTAGGATTAATATCTTGTCATGAAATATTTAAATATCACTCACAAAACAATATATTTCACTTACCCCGATTCTAACTCGCTATTCCATAAATAATCACAAATTGCAGCTTCGATGTCATCAATTCCGGTTGGAATGTCCGCTTTTTCAACCTACAATTTTGCATACAAATTTTTGTCACAACAACATAATAAAAATCAAATTAAGTATTCTTTTATTAAACTTACCTTCTGTTTCTTCTTCTGGGGTGCAGGACATTCCGAATCCAAAACTGCTGCTATAACACTCTCCGGTGTATAAATGACATCGACTTCCTTCCTCCTCATTTCTTCCATCTCTTCTTCTTCCTCCTCCCTCTTTTCTTCTTCATATTTTTTCAGTTCATCGTACTTTTTTTCTACATAGCTCTTCATATCTTTTATTTCACCCTTCAATTGAGCTCCTTCATCCGAGTATTTATCAACCACCCCCTTCACCCCCGTAAGTTCACTCCTCAAATCAACAACCTCCTTCACCACTCCCTCAAATTTTTCTCCCGTCACCATCTTAATATCACCCCTTAACACCGAAACTTCTTTCACCACTTCACCCCTCAACACCTCTACTTCTTTCACCACTCCATCTATTTTTCCTTCCACTACCCCCTTATGCCTCTCGAGTTTCTCTACGACTTGATCAAGTTTCTCTTCGACTCTTGATTGTCTTTGCATGATTTCAAATTGGATTTTTTTGATATCAGCCAATTCAGACATCAAAATGTCGAAGTTACTCTGTTTTGCTTCACCGTCGTCCCACTCACCTTCATCCCCCAATACAACCATCCCTCCTTTCTTCTCCTCTGCCTCCACTGCCTCCTCTACATCCTTGCCAATAACCTTCAAAAAATTAAATTACAATATTAAGACATTGATTATATTCTTAATATTATTTAATTACATTTATTACCATTTCTTGCTTCTTCCCTCTATCCAACTTCAACTTCACCATCACTCTAACCACCTCTTCCTTCCCCCATGCACGGATGCGTGCCACTCCGGTTCTTTCATAAGCCGGCACTGCCTCACAGCCCGACCAAAAATCGAACAGTGCAACCTGCATTTATAATAAAATTAGAATTTTTATATAAAACACAAAAAAGTGATTCAACTCATTTACCTCTAAGATTGCTATGCACCCTTTGAGGTATCTCTGGCTGCCCTTTTTAAAGGTGATAATTGATTCAATCAATCTCGAATGGATATATTCAGCCCAATTGAATTCACCCTTCAAGCCTTCATCGCAAATGAGCTTCATATATTCCTTGTTCGTTGACGTATCACCCGTTGGACAAAGAAATATACCGACAAGGTACAATAGAACTCGGGCCTTCAGCTCATCCCCCAAGTAATATCCACTTTTGATATCCTCTTCAACTTCAGTATATGTCACCTTATGATTCAAACCATATTTGGAGGCAAGTGCTTTCCAGTTCTTACTCCTACAGACTTCTATAACACTTTTGCCTTTGTTTTGTACCCCCAATACGGCTGCAGCAGTCGATACCCCCAGAGGGAATGAATAATCACCATACTTAGCCATACATTGACTGACGTCAAATTGTGCCATCAAGGATCGACACAATTCCCTCCGAATAGGTCGATCCCTTACTCCGATCAACGATCCAAAACCTATTTCTCCCAGCACATTCAACTGACCCTTCTCCTTAAGGTGTTTAATTAATAAATTCACCCTTTTAATGCTGCATCTTGTCGACACTTCCTACATTTTTTAACAATATATAATGTTATAGTTCTTATATTTTGTATCAACGTATTTACAAGTTTAATGAATACCTTATTTTCATGTGCTTTCCTCCGTTCTTTGTATTCTTTACTATCATTCCTTGACTGTGTGATGTAAGGTTCCTTTTCAGCATCACTCATTGAATTCCATTTGGACCTCACATCTTTTTTCACCTAATATTAAACATAAACGTTTCTTAATCAATACATTAACACTAAATACTAATACTACTCAATGTCAATTTCATTTTACATACCGAACCGCTCTGTGTGCCATCTCCCTTCATCCTTTTTGCATTCGGCCATACTGTTAACATTTAAAATTTGTAATCAATTTAAAGTTTATCGATACTTTAATCCAATTACCATTTCAACAATAATAACAAAAAGACATTGATACTTACTAGAAGTACATATATCCACCCTTTGGTTGCTTTCGAGTCTCGGCCTCAATTTCAAAGTCATCTGCTCCACCAACAATTTTCCAACCCATTGACTCCATTTTTCCTTCATATATCAGTTTACGCAAATCAAATTATTTTGTTACATACACTTTTCAATATACAAATATAGATAACTACTCTTGTGGTAAAACGGTTTTCTTCAAAAGAATTTGAATGGCCACACCAAAATGTGTCGGCACATTTATACAACCTATAATATCATTTTCTACCTATAATATTTAATAAAAGTATCGACATTTATATTTTTCCTTGAATATCTATTTCTACCTGCAATCGGTCCCAAATGCTTCCTTACTCCAAAACCCCAAACAACACATAAAAACCCTATCGCGATTACTGTAATAATAAAAAATTAGGGTTTCGACAACATACTTTTCGATTCGACTGCAGCAACAAACAAACAAACTTCGCTTTAGAAACGCCTTCTGAAATGCAGCAACAATTACTCTTCGATTTCAAAAACTCGTCCGTTCTATCTATTTTCAGAGGATATTTAGCTTATATTTTCATCGGATATGTTATTTATATTTAATCGATACAAATACAAAAGTGTCGATACTTTTATGTCAGGTGTCGATACTTTCGAAAGGATAATTACGTATTTCTTTGAAAGTGTCGATAATTTATTACACGTACTTACGAAAGTATCGACACTTTCAATATATCCGGTATCATTTTACCGTTTTTATCATTTTGATACCGGTTTTATCATATTTTTACCTGTTATATCGTTGTGGATCGATATTTTTTTTAAAGTATCGACACATTATAGGCGCTATAACTGCTTCTCTTTTAAATTCACAAAGTGTCGATCCTTATATAACGTATCGACACTTTTAAATTTACCGGTTTTATCATTTTGTTACCGGTTTTATCATATTTTTACCTGGTATATCGTTTTGGATCGATATATTTTTTAAAAGTATCGACACTTTTTAGGATTTAAAACTGCTTTTAAAGTTATGTAATTTATGTTTCAATTTATTTAATAGTGTTTCATGTTTTCCACCTACAATATTAATTTAATAATTTAATTTACACAAAATTTTATTTGATTGTTTTGATATTTTATAAAATATTATTTAGCATTTAAATTTAACAATATTAACCAAATATAATAATAAATATGTTTTCAACAGTGAAATAAGTATGGACACTTTTATAAAAATGATATATACTTTTTTGAAAGTTATGTAATTTATGTTTCAAATTTTTTAATAGTGTTTCATGTTTTCCACCTACAATATTAATTTAATAATTTCATTTACACAAAAAATTATTTGATTGTTTTGATATTTTATAAAATATTATTTAGATTTTAAATTTAACAATATTAACTAAAGATAATAATAAATATATTTTCACAGTGAAATAAGTATGGACACTTTTATAAAAAGGATAGATAATTTACAATATAACAAGTAAAAATATGACAAAACCAGATTCATTATGACAAAACCGGTAAAATTTACTTGATATGTTAAACGTATGGACACTTTTATAAAAAGGATAGATACTTACCGATAACCAAAGTTTACCGGTTACCAAATTTTTTAATAGTTTTTCATATTTTCTACCTAAAACATTATTAGTTGTCAACATAATAGGTACCGCTAAACCGAATTTATTAAATACATTTTAATATATCCGGTAATGCTGTATATTAGCCGTATATTAACCCGCCTTTCCTGAGACATCCCCGGAATAATGGTGAAGTTGTGGAATGAAGAAACGGTGAGCAAAGTTGAATAATCATAGCTACATATTAATGGAAAATCGTTCCTTCTTCTCGACCTCGTCTGTCACATCATTTCAAACAAATCTGAGAACGAGCTGAAATTTACAGTGGACAAGAAGACAAAGACGACCCCGCATTAGCCCGTTTCTTTCTGTCTGCTAGCTTAGAAAGCTTCACGTGATTCCCCGACAGTCTCAGACGACTACAAAAAGAATAGTAACCATCACCAGTGGAGGCTACCCGAATACTAAAACCAAAATCATAGGGGGCAGAATCAGGGCCGCCGCAGAAGACGCCCACAACGGTGGTGAGATTGGTGCCGACGACTGTGCTTTCTCGAACTGAAGAGAATCAACGGCTAAGGGCATGTTCTCTTGATCCGGGCTGCACTTGGACTCGTGAGGGTGCGTACTGTACATTATGGCTCGCAGTACGGCCGAAACGGTGGGTATGTACGCCGTTTTGTTGCGCGCGAGTAGCCAAGTTAGCCCCATTAGCTGGCAGTCTCTGCTGAACATCTTGTTGGCTCTCTCGGTCGTGCTCCTGTCTTGCTTGTTGTGTCCACCTTTGAGCTGTAAATTGCAAAAACAACTGTGTTTTTTAGATTCCGTTGAACTGAAAACTAGGCTAAGGTGGTGCACCAAAGGGGAAATGTGATGGAGAAGTAAATCACGGCCGAAGGTCTAATTGTTTGCAATGTAAAGGGATAATAGCCTCATCCATGCACATGACAATGTCACTTTCTTGGGTCTACAAAAATGGCATTGGCCCCTAACATAAAATGGCGAAAAGTAGACCCTCTTTTGCCTTGAAAAGGCCATCTTAAACCAATCCTCCATCGGCTCTAAAGTTCTCAACTTTGAAGTTTTGGGTTGTGAAAAGTTCATTGCAAAGCACAAATTTTTGTATCAGATACTTATTATATGCAAACTCATGAAACAGGAGGAGTTTTAAGACAATATTCCTAGAATTAATGTATTCGCATGAATGGATTGTAGGGGCTCATTAACTACGCAGCCAAGATATGGACCCAAGAAAAGGAAACAACTTCCATTAATGATGACTTACCTTTTGAAGAGCGCCGAGGCATTTTGTACACCCGGCATAAGAAGAGTTCCTGCAATTTCTCTCCAAATTCTTCACGGCAGCCGTAGGTGTCGCGTTCCGGTGACCGGAAACGTTAAACGCAGCCGGGCAACTCAAGGAACTAATCTGGTGTAGCCTTATCCCACAAAAACAAAGAATCGCATCACAAGTGGCGTTCGGTTGAGGAACCCTCACGCGCTTGCTTAACAATGCGCTTTGTAACGAGTTCACACACTTTTGCGAATCGTCCGGCCTCATGGGCTGGTCCGGCAGCTGAGATTCTTCTGGAGCAGGAGCCGAGACCTGTAAAGCATACCTGGCGTGAGCAGCGAAGAGCCACGCTGCTAAGACGGGACAGCAGCGGCTCCTGTCTAGATTGTGTCCACAGGCGTCGCTGACACCGCCGAATAGCTCGGCCGACAAGTCAAGCCGGCAAATTTGAGCTTGGGTTTCAGCAGGAAGTGCGGGGACCGTGTTCGGGGATGAGTATCCTATGGGAACCGGTTGAGCTAGGAAACCGGCGAGGGAACGATGAAATGTAGCGAAAGAGAAAAATAGTGAAAACGTGGAAATGAGGGAAAAAGAAGCCATGGGTTCTTTTATCCGATTTCTACGTCTAAAAGATGATAGTTTCAAAGGAAAGAGAAGGTGGGGAAGGCAAAGGAGACAACTTTGAATCACTTCAATAATAATGGTTCCCTTTTGACATAGGAGAGTGGTGCTTTGTGCCTTGTTCAGACTTAGAATTACCAAACCAGCAGCAGCAGGCTATTGAAAACGAAGCAAGAGTGAGTGATAGGGAGAGAGTCGGGTAGAAATGGAGATGGGATTACGCATATCTCTTCTCTCTCCCCCTTTCTGCTGTTTAATCTGGGATTTTGGAGGCTCCTACTATCTATAAAGATAGACGGTGTAAATTGATCTTATAAATTATTAATTTTAATAATAGTTTTTTAGAATTAAACATTCGTAAACTTTAAAAGGGAAAAAATATGATTATGGATAGATTGGTGATGTTCTTTTCCGTTTCGATCTCTCTATTTCTTTTGGCCCCATAGCATAGTGCATGATATGAGACTAACTGCTCCCATTCTCTCCCTCTCCCTCTCCCTCTCCCTCTCTCTCTCTCCCTCGTCCTCTCATTTCTTGATAAACTTCCAACGAAAAGACAAAGGAGCGTAACCCTAGAGGTTAATTTTTCTGAATTTTGTTGTGGAAAAATTATTTTAAAGTAAAACTTTGTGGGTGGGGGGGGGAACAATTTAAGAGGAAGAAATATAAAATTATTTGGGTGCCATTTATATGTAAAAAATGTTCATCATTAAAAAGGAGGTTACAGTTTTAGGTTAATTTAAAAAACGAATAACCTTAAAACTCACTTTTTTAGCATTTGAGTGACCTAAAAGCATGATTTTCAGAATCGGACTGGTTAGTGAACCGGTCATGTTACCGGTTTATTGGTTCAATCGGTTGAACCAGTCCGATCGGTCGAAAAAACCGAACGACGTCATAATTATTTTAAAAATAAAATAAAAATACCAAAAATATTTAATAAAAAATAATTTTTTATATCACAAGTCATATTCAAAGCAAGTCATAACATATATAAGTTAAAAACTATAAAATCAAGCGAAACAAAATGATTCAAATTAACTACAACATAATATTTAAGGTAAAACATATTAAATAATAAATATAATTATATAACTATAATCAAAAAAATAAATTTTGGGTTAAAAAATCATAACAAAATGATATTGTTTGGTTTAATTTTTTTTTTTAAAAAAACAATCTCACATGGCTAAGAAACATAAAGGAGCATCTCAAAAGTCTAAAGAGTAAAAATATGAGAACAAAATAATCCCACATTCTAAGAAACATAGAAGAGCATCCCAACTAATTTTTATAAATAATAGAGGTAATTTGACATTCAAAATCATGGAGCTTTTTGGTGAGCATTGAGTGAACTACAAGCTCGAATTTTAGGCTTCAATTGAGTTTTTAATTTTTTTTGAGTTCAAGTTTCAATATTATATTTCGAGTTCGAGTTGAACTTTATAATTTTTAGCTCGTGAGTTTGAGTCGAGTTGAGCTTACTTTTAAAGTTTTCAAGTTCGAGTCGAGCTCAACAATACTTTAGTTCGATTTGGCTCGTTTAACAAACGACGTCGTTTGATTTAATTTTCTTTAAAAAAACAAAATTAGCGATTTTTTCGGTTTTCAGCCGGTCCGGTTCAACGGTTCCGACCGGTTCACTAGTAGCATTTCAACCGGTGTAGATTGAACCGGACTAAACAGCGATTTTCGGTTGAACCGGCCGGTCCGATTTTCAAAACACTGCCTAAAAGAGCATAATTCAAAATTTTAATAATTAAACATCTTTCTAATTAAAAGATCATCAGAATTAAAGCAATATTTATTAAATAAATGTAGTAACAATTTAAACATATTTTAGCAAAATCTTCCAATAAATACACTGCCTTGTGGGAACAGGACATGAAACAAATGTCCAAATAAGTGTACCTTAATATCTACCTGTCAAAACTTAATCTTGCAGTGCATGATTCAAAGGGAGAAAAAAAATACTAATCCAAAGACAAAGACAAACATCCACGTATATTCCGAAAACCTACTAACTAATCTCGTTTCTCTATGCCACGTATATGCTTTTTCTTTTTAAATTTACCATGCATGTACTTAATAGGATTACGATATGAATTACATGGATATGCATATTTCGTTTAGGGTAAAGCACGCATTTAATCATTCAATTATTGTTTTAGTTTCATTTCATTTTGAGAACTACTTATGTAGTAATTTTTTTTTTCATTGATGATGTAATATTATTAGGGATAGAGTTAAAAATATTAAATTGAGGTGTCATTATTTTAAATTATGGTATTTAAATAAAAGGTAAAATGGTAATTTTTATCATTGTAATTGACTCAATTTATCACTTTCGCTCCCTATTGTATTTTCACATCAATTTAGCCATCGAAGTTACTCAATTGATTCATTATATTTAACTTAAAATCCTAAATTATAAACCCTAAACCATAACCTCTAAACATAAATCGGTCTTAAGTTAGGAGCAGGGTATAGAATGATGCAATTAAACAACTTTGATGGCTAAATTGATGTGAAAATACAATATGGGCAAAAATGATAAATTAATTTTACTACACGACAAATGTGACCCTTAAGCCTAAATAAAATCATATAAATTTCATTTAAAAAGTTGGGGTGAGTTTCTTTGGACATAATGCCAAAATCAACTCTAGCGTTTATTAAAATGGTCATTTGCCCCCTATTCCTTTTTAGAGTATTTTGGTTATAACGTTTCATTGTCCTAAAAAGGAATAAGAGCCGAAACAAAACGTTTGTTAACTAACTATTTCTTTTTTAAGGGTCAAAAAATTTCTAAAATTGATTTCATTGATTTTATTATTTTATTATATAATGATAAATCTATATATTTTTTTTGAAATTTTTGTGCCGCCAGTTGACACATCTCACCCTATACTAACTCTGTCAGCAGATATTATTTTATGGTGGTACATCAGAATCATCGTTAATTTTTTAATGACTGATGACTAAAACGTAATTCTAAGTATGATTTTGAGAAAAAAAATAAGTTGATAACTAAAATAAAATTAAAGTAATAACTGAACGATTAAATATGTAGTTTAGCATTTTATATAAGACTATGTCTAGGAAGTGGGAGAAATCTATAGGTGGCCTGCAAAAGCTTTGGTAAATGAGCTCAAAGGGAAGTGAAAAGGTGTAATGATGCCCGAGCGATATCAGGCTGACGGCCCCCAAACATTTCGGCTAAATTACATGACACCATTTGCTTTTAATTTTACATTTCTGACACCGTTTGATCAATATTTTCAGAAGTAGCACTCTTTCTGCTGAGTTGGTAAAGGCGCGTCCCCGGGGACGCGCTTTACCCGTGTTTTCGCTGAGTTGGATGCCACGTGTGAAAAGCGCGTCCCCGGGGACACGCCTTTGCCAACTCAGCATACACGTATTTTATTTTATAATAAATAGTTTATTTTTATAAAATTTATATTTTTATATTTAATATATTTATTTAATATAATAATTAATATTATTAGTTATAATTTTTTTTAAAATATAATAATAATTCCACATTCTAAGTAGAGAAAAATATTAAATTAAAAGTTATTAAAAAATTTATGTATACGATGACACATTTCATGTTCTGATTGGAGGATTAAATTTATTAAATTAAATTTTCAATAAGACTAATTTTATAAAATATGTAAGTCTTGAAGATTAAATATGTAATTATACTAATTTATTAACTTATGCATCAATATTTTCGTTAAATATTGATATGAGATGACTAGATTGATAACATTTAAATAATTAACTGATAAAATTAATAGATCGATAATCAAAATAAAAAATAATCGAAACTTGATAATTCTTACATTATAATCAAAACATTTTACATAATATATTATTAATTTATAATAATAATAAAAATAAACTATTTATTATAAAACAAAATACGTGTATGTTGAGTTGGCAAAGGCGCGTCCCCGGGGACGTGCCTTTCACACGTGGCAAGCAACTCAGCGAAAACACGGGTAAAACGCGTCCCTGGGGACGCGCCTTTGCCAACTCAGCACAAATGATGCTACTTCTGGAAATATTGGTCAAACGGTGTTAATTTAGCCAAACATTTCCCCACCATTACCAGTTTATTCCATGGTACGTACGGTGTTTTGCTTTAGGGTAAATTCCATTTCAAGCTAGTCAATTATGAGTAAGATTACATATAGGTCATCAATTTCAAGAGATTATAAACAAGTTATTACAATTAGATGTCGTTCTAATGTGAAATATTTTATTTATTAAAGATTTTTATTAAAAATTACAATCAAATTAACGAGTTGATTGTAAGAATCAAGTCACTTATATGGTGGCCAATGGACCCTAAATTTCATATTGATCTCCTTGTTATTGGATTAGATTAATAAAAATCTCTCACAAAAATCATTAAATCACGCAAAAACTTTTAAACTTCTTGAACTTCGTCCACTGTCATATGGTATTTGCATCCTCAAATGTATCCATCGATCTTCGAGAAACCCAGAATCCAAAACATATTTTTTTATTAATTGACTTATTGATAACTTTTTGAAACTATGTGACATATTTATAATCTTATTAATAATTAGATGACTAATTTATAATCTTACTACTAATTGGATGACTTAGTGTATAATTTATCTAATACAAAATTATTTAAAAATATTTTATGCGTCTTCTAATATTTCCTTTTTAATGACCTAATGAAGTTGGAAGAGGAACCCATATTCAGAGCATTGTTTTATTGTTGGAATCCATACATTTTAGGCCCATATTATTAAAATCTGTTGCTGATTAACTAATTATAATAGAAAAGTCATTCAGGTGTAATGAAATTAAGGAAATTTTACCAAAACAAATTGATTAACACTGACATGTTTGTTAATTAATAAGGTGAAATGTCCAAATTTTATTTGAAGAATAAATTTCAAGATACTATTGTAACAAAATCTATTCTTCCCAAATGAAACCTAAAAATCACAATTTATTTATTATTGAGTTAATTACATAATATGTCCTCAAAGTATGACTCTCATTTTAAGTTAGTCCGTGAATTTTTAAATGTTCCAAATTTATAACTATGACTATGATTGTGAATTAGTCCTTAAACTTTTAAACATTTCAATTACATCCTAAACTATACGTATATACTAATTACGTCCCTTGTTAATAAAATTGTTAGGTCAAATTATATTATCGTATGTTTGGGGGGAACAAAGATTAGG